ATAGTTGATTCATGGGCTCAAACACCGAATCTAAAGTCCTAATTGATAATTATATTCTTTATTCTTTATTTTTAGTTTTGAGCATATGGATATGTGGGTGAATGCATTTTTTGAGAAAAAATTTAGTTTTTATGTTTTCAGGTGTTTACCCAAATCTGCAGGTATGCAAGGTATTTGATGGTTTGATTGTAGCCCTTATAATGTTTCTATGCAATGGAATTTTTTTTTCAATTAGAGGGATGGTTTTTTGTATTGTTTGTTGTTGCAATAGGAGCATAGTAAAGGATTGATAAGTAGAACATCACTAGGTATTATTTGACTGTAAATGCTAATAGAATGCACTTTTTGTTATTTTTTAGTGCAAGGTTTTATTATGGATATAAATTATTGTGCAGGGATTCAACTTTTGTTGGCTATTTTGATTTTTTTTGCTTGAGTTCAATTTTAATAATTTAAGTTATAGTTTGTGGACCTTTATTTTCTCTATCTTTATACGGTTTTTTTTTTGGCCTTTGTTCTCCATTCACTTTGGTATGCCTTCACTAAATTGTCTTTGATTGATATGAATGTCTTCGTTGATGTAGTGTTGTTGATGGCTCCATATGTGCAACACTATTGCATACATTGTAATGTCAATTCATTACATTGTACATTGTAACCGTTGCTTAGTTTCATTAGTTCACCATTCAATTGAATGAATTCATAAGTCTTTGTTACATCCGCTATGTTTTAAATATGGTTGCTTTGGTTGTTTGCGTACATCCTACCTTTTAGATTTGTAGGCACCGTTATGGTTTTTTTGATTACGCCTACAATTCAAATCTGTATATAAGCTAATGCCATTGGTTAAATCTATATATTATGCTTATACTCAAGGATCCCGAGAGTTAGGTACACCAGGAAAGTGAATTTTGTTATAATTTCAATAGTTTCAAACTTTCATGCTTTACTGGCTCTTTGTTCATGGGAAATGAATGATACCCATACTTTGTGTTCCATTTTTCTGATTTGTTATGGGTTGTTATTTTGATCCTTGACCCAGGGCTCTTTGGATGATTGAATCTGCGACTGCGGCGATATTTATCTCTAATCTCAATTGGGTGTTTGCAAGTTTTAGTGCTTTCATACCTATTGTTTAAAATCCGTAATTTTTTTTCTCTTGCCAAATGTTTGTGGTGTTATTACAAGAAATTAATTTTTGTTTGCTTGCATTACTTTATAGTGTTAGTCAACATAGTGATTTCCCTTTTTGATATGTGTTAATTGTGTATATCCAATCCTTCTGTCAAGTTGTTAGGAATTCAAAATAAAATAAAATTATGATTCTTTGGTATTATGTGGATTGAATTATTGAATTGCTTACTATTCTAATAAACAAACCTGACAGGAAGGGCGGAGTTATCTTAAAGAGATTCACTCACCAGTTGTTTGGAAACATATTTGATCCAAGGCTTATTGGGAGGATGAGACAACATTTTTTTTTTTTTTAAAGAAACTAGGTTTGAGCACATTTTTTATTTATTAAACCTCAAAATTATAACAAGCAAAGGCAAAAACTGTTTTAACAAAAAAACAGTCCCTATTTGAACAGAAAACAAAAAAACTAAAAATAACTGTTACAGAATTCTCTTGCTAAGTCAGACAAAAAACGTTTGACTGTTCCTGTTCACATGCTGCTTTTTCAAATCCAGCTGGGGAACATCTGCTACAGCATCAGATTGCACCCTGAAGCTGAAAAGGCCATGTCCAGTTGCCTAGCTGCCAAACAGCACCTTAGCCTCCTAACACCACCTTGCCAGACAAAATGCCCTGCTCCTCTCTACAGTCTGCAGCACCATCATTTCAAACCTTTGCCCCTGGACCTTTAGAACCTTACATCACTTCCCAAATCATGCACTCAATCCTGCTGACCACCACAGATCAACACAACCAAGCCACAATCCATTCTGATAGCACTTCCAAATCAGCAGCACACTGCTCAACACAGAATTCAACATAACAGACACATGAGCATCATGCTTGTATCTCTGCTTTGCAAAGAGCTGGCTTTAATCCTTCAAAGGATCTAAAGCCATATTACTCACCAACCCTTCTGCTGAATAAAACCAGCTCCAGTGCACCCTCTATACATTCTAAAAATCCTCACTCAACACCTGATGTAGCAGCAGATTGCTATCCAGGATCTACATCAACCTGACCCTCACATACTACCCTCCTCCCTCTAGCAGTAGGAATCCTGAATTGATCCTAATGCAGAATCAACCTTCCATCCAGTGGCAAAATACCATTGACTGAAAAGTCAGTAAAGCACCCAGTTCTAACAGCATAAGAAGCCAGAAAGTCAGCAACAACATTAGCTTCCCTGAATACAATGACTAATCTGATACTGCATTCCCTTAAGCAAACTCCATGTCTCCTCTGAAACCTCCAAGGAACCTCTGCCTTCTCCATCACCATGTGAACTAACACATGTGAATCAGATTTTAGTCACCTGGGTCTGGTGGTTTGCGGTTTAGGAGGTTTGAGATGTGGAAGTTCTTGTAGACGTTTTGAGAGAGAGTAGGTTGAAGATGAAGCGGGGGCTGAATGCGGTAGAGGTTCAGTGATTTGACACATGTTCAAATTCTTCTTCACTACACCACTTTGTTACGTTTCTGGAGGTTAGTGAAGCATGTCTTCAGCAGTCCTGTGTAAGCTTCTAGAGGAACTGGCCGAGTCATTGATTCAGATTGATAAGAGTCATATATATATTCTTTGTTTGTAATAGATTTAATTTGGAAAAAATATATATACATTTTTGTCATAAGAGTCGTGTGAGATCACTTATACCAGGAATTTTGAGGTTTTCATCCCAAATGGGTTATACACATTGATCGGACTCAGTCAAAGCGTCAAATTGTTTTTCTTCTATTTGTAAAATATTTGAACTGAAAAAAAAAAATACAATTTCCCAACAAGGTTAGAAATCCAATCAATGTGTCTTTAAAACTTCTTAGTTAATAAATTGCTAAATTTGATAGTTCTTGATAATTAATTTCTTGTTTCTCTGACTAGTAACCATTAGATCATTCATTATCTGATGGTTCACCTAAAAAATACCCACATAAGACTTTGGCTTATTTGAGAAGGTTTTCTTATTCAACACTGTTGAAATATAGTTTTTGATGATGTAGATATATACATTCCATGTGCCGGATGAGATGATGAAAAAGCAACATGAAGAGTTAGTGATACTTGTTGAAGGTGATGCATTGACAGAGGAGTATAAAAGACTTGAAGAGGACCTGGTGAAAACAGGCGGTTAAGCAGGAGGAAATTCAAACGAGTCCTACAGTTAGCTTTAATACCTTGAAGAGTAATGAAGGTTACACGAATGTGTTCTGGCAAATTTAGCTTTGATCACCAGTGGAATAGATAAGTAAAAAATATGCTCTAATTCCAACAAATGACTCTGACATGACTCTGAGTTTTGATGAGTATTAGCTGAGTTATCCCGGCCAAATTCGGAAGCATCCAAGCACAACATCGGGAATTCAATTTAGGAACTCAGCAGGAAGAACATGACCAATCAAATGAGTTTTGAAATTCATGTTTACCACCTACTCGTTTAAAAACTTAGTAGAGATAGATGTAACATTGCTTTATTTTATTTTAATTTGTTGAATCAATGTGTCTTCTATACATTAAAATAACATCATATCTAAACTAAAAAATGTGTCAAGTGGCTGAGTTTGTGGAACAAACTCAATAATGCAACATTTATTTTCAACGGTGATGGAAAGTTGCACCTTCCACCATATTGTTTGCAATTTTTTACTCCCTGAAGTGGTTCAACGACCAGTTCCTATTTAAAAAATAATGAAAGCACCTCGACACATATGTAATATGTATGTGGAAAACATGAGAGGCAGATATGTAAAAGGGATCAAAAAAAAGGACGGTCAGAAGATCGAATTGTGAAACAAGTTCGTTTTTGATCGGATTTTAGAGTGCTGCGTACCTGTTGTTCCTGGAATCTAAATCTTCACATCTTTCGCTCTCACCAGTGGAAACAACATCTCTTCACTTGTCGATTTGGTAATCTTCTCTTAAACCCACTTTGTGATATATGTTTTGATGTAGTGCATTTGAATAGTCTTTGATCCGGTGGTGTTCTCCAATTATATGTAACAATTTGGTGCTAGAATTGTGCTGAATATGTTGTTTACTTGATTGAATTGCTTGTTTGGAATTGATCTCATTTCAATACACAAAAAGGAAAGTGAACTGTCCTTTTGTTATTGTTATTAGGGTCTTTGCCAGAACCTTGCTCAAGTCAAGACAGAAACGTTATGTGCATGAAGAAGTGATTAATCTTTGGATTTAAATTTTACATGTAATTTTAGTGAGGCTCCAATCCTGGAGAGATAAGGTCAATCACTTGACGTCCATCCGATGAATTTCGCAACCCTCGTTTTTTCTCTTTGTGTGATTTTACTAACATACATGCTGCTGTAGACAGAGTCAGATATGAGATTTCGGCTTCCAAAGGCCATTCAAAGTAGTTGCCGTGCTTACCAAATCATTTATTAAATTTTGTATCCCAAATCAGTGTGGTGGTGGTTGGATCAGTGAAGTTTACTAACTTGTACCAATCATTCCATGAATGGGATTTTGACATTATTTGGAATACAACATTTGGTAAACAAATTTGAGTAGTTTTATCCTATTATAACAAAGGGCCTAACATTGTTGATACAAAGAGTTTTTATTTTTATTTTTTGGAAAGTAAAATTGTAATTGAAAAAAACCAATAGTTACAACTTACAACTTACAACTTACAAGCNAAACCAACCAGCCAACCAAGACTATCATATGAAGCCAAAAAAAAAAATCAGCATCTATAGTCGTGGGTACCTAAACAATGTCTAACAAGCTTATATAACAACAATCCAGTATATTTGCATTCATCACTAGCCTCCCGTATCAAAAATTGGAGGGAAGTTCAAGAGATAAGAGTAATGCGTTCAGTGGGAGAATTGAGTGATGAGATCCAACCAAGAAGTTATTGGAGATGGAGCAAACAAGATTTTTTCCCAGAAGAATCTTTTAAAACCTAGACAACATACGGATCTGCGCTGTCACAAACAACTGCACGCTTCAAGGACCGTCTTATAAGCCGATCAGAGGATGCTGATGAGCTCATAGAGCTCCGGAAACAAAGTGAGAACGAAATGAAACGTTGCCTCACCTGGTGGGACCTTATCTGGTTTGGGTTTGGCTCTGTCATTGGAGCCGGCATCTTTGTGCTCACTGGCCAAGAGGCCCATGATCATGCCGGACCGGCCATTGTCTTATCATATGTCGCATCAGGTGTCTCAGCAATGCTTTCAGTTTTCTGCTACACGGAATTTGCAGTAGAAATTCCGGTCGCCGGAGGTTCTTTCGCTTACTTGAGAGTAGAATTAGGAGACTTTGCAGCATTTATAGCAGCAGGGAATATACTGCTTGAATCCATTGTGGGAACTGCAGCTGCTGCTAGATCATGGACTTCTTATTTCACGACTCTTTTGAATCGACACCCGAACTCATTACGTATACATACAAATCTCACAAATGGGTTCAACCTCCTTGACCCTATTGCTGTTGTAGTTCTGGCAATTGCAGCCACCCTAGCCATGATCAGCACAAGGAAAACTTCATACTTCAACTGGATTGCATCTGCTATAAACACCATAGTAATTTTCTTTGTGATAATTGCAAGGTTTGCTCATGCTGATACGTCTAATTTGCAACCCTTTATGCCTCATGGTGCTGAAGGGGTCTTCCAAGCAGCAGCAATTGTGTATTTTGCTTATGGAGTATTTGACAATATTGCGACAATGGCAGAGGAAACAAAAAAACCATCAAGAGATATTCCACTCGGGTTGCTTGGATCAATGTCAAGGATCACTGTGATATACTGTTTGATGGCACTTGCTCTGAGTATGCTGCAGAAATACACCGATATAGACACAAGTGCAGCATACTCTGTTGTATTTCAGAGTGTAGAGATGAAGTGGGCTAAGTACCTGGTTGCTCTTGGAGCCCTCAAAGGGATGACCACTGTTCTGTTAGTAGGAGCACTAGGGCAGGCACGCTATACTACTCATATTGCGCGAGCCCACATGATTCCACCGTGGTTTGCTCTCGTCCACCCAAAGACAGGAACCCCTATTAATGCCACTCTCTTAATTACCATTTCAAGTGCCATTATTGCATTCTTTTCAAGCTTGAATCAGTTGACAAGTTTGTTATCAGTCAGCACACTCTTTATATTCATGATGATGGCAGTGGCACTTCTTGTGAGGAGATACTATGAACGAGGAATAACTCCTCGAGCAAACCTCTTGAAGCTAGTTGCCTTCTTGCTGATCATTATTGCTTCCTCCATGGGGACTTCAGCATTTTGGGGATTGAACCCCAAAGGTTGGATTGGTTACACCATCACCGTTCCTCTGTGGTTCTTGGGGACCTTGGGGATTGCAATTTCTCTGCCACAGCAACGAACACCAAAATTCTGGGGAGTTCCACTTATTCCGTGGTTGCCATCCTTGTCAATTGCAACAAATTTGTTTCTCATGGGATCATTGGGATCTCAAGCTTTTATAAGGTTCGGCGTCTGCACATTTGTAATGCTGGTCTACTATGNTCAATTTCTCTGCCACAGCAACGAACACCAAAAGTCTGGGGAGTTCCACTTATTCTGTGGTTGCCATCCTTGTCAATTGCAACAAATTTGTTTCTCATGGGATCATTGGGATCTCAGGCTTTTATAAGGTTCGGCGTCTGCACATTTGTAATGCTGGTGTACTATGTTCTTTTTGGTCTCCATGCAACATATGACATGGCCCATCAGCAACACAAGCTAGAATCACAAAAAAATCTTCAAGAAGTAGACATGGAAAAAGCAGGGCCATAAGAAGTTAAATTACCCAATGCCACTTCAATAGTTCATCCAAGAATGCAGTTCTGAGACTGAAAATATATGTACTTATGTAGCATCAAACTTGTGAAATCAATCATCCGAATTAAGATCATTACCCCTCAATGCAACAATGAAGAGGAGAAAATTTTATACATGCTNGAAACATCCAAAATATTTTTTTTTTCAAGGAGAACAAAAAGTATAATTAATAAAATCAAAATTTATATTTCGAGATATTCTATAATGTTTCAAAATATTTTATAACATTTCAATGCATTTGAATAATTATTTTAAAATATTTCAAGTTATTTTAAGATATTTTGATATATTTTGACTAATGTTTAAAAAAATAATACTTAAATTTTTTATTTTTTTTCNTTTTTTTGTGGAATTACTTCCTAAAGAAATGTCACCTCTCAACCAACTTAATCCTCAAAAGTACAAGTTTTTTTACCAACAAATATTTTTTTGCAATTGGAAAAAAATGATTTCAGTCTTGATTCACCATAGATTCTTGATGTCTCTGGCGAGTTCATAAAAAGAAAGTGGGCGTAACTGTTTTTGAAGAAGCTAAAAAACATATCAAGAACAAGAATGATGTCACATAAAAAAAGAGGAATTCAGGGAAGTAAAGGGTATAAACAACAGGAAGCAGAATATATAAAAAGACATCAAGGAAGAAATATGGTTCCTTTTGTAGAAATTTTCAATATGGGTATACCACTAAAAAGTTCTGCCATACAAAAAAAAAGTCATTGCCTAGTTTGGTCCTCCTTAATAAAGGGTGTTGTGAGTTGAGCAATGAGTACACAGACAGACTTAACATTTAGACTTGCATGGCATGCATATTCCAAGATTCCAATAACNTTTTTACCAATAAATATTTTTCTGCAATTGGAAAAAAATGATTTTAGTCTTGATTCACCATAGATTCTTGATGTCTCTGGCGAGTTCATAAAAAGAAAGTGGGCGTAACTGTTTTTGAAGAAGCTAAAAAACATATCAAGAACAAGAATGATGTCACATAAAAAAAGAGAAATTCAAGGAAGTAAAGGGTATAAACAACAGGAAGCAGCAAATATAAAAAGACATCAAGGAAGAAATATGGTTCCTTTTGTAGAAATTTTCAATATGGGTATACCACTAAAAAGTTCTGCCATACAAAAAAAAAGTCATTGCCTAGTTTGGTCCTCCTTAATAAAGGGTGCTGTGAGCTGAGCAATGAGTACACAGACAGACTTAACATTTAGACTTGCATGGCATGCATATTCCAAGATTCCAATAACTCTTTGCAGCTGATAGATAGATCAGAGATGTGCCAAAATAAATGAAATATTTAAGTACCCAGTACACGAGGCTCCTGCTATTGTAGGGTCTGGGGAGAATTACATGTATACAATCTTACCCGTGCAAGCAGAGAGATTGTTTCCGCGACTCAAACCCGTGACTTGGAAACTCATGACATCCAAGTCACAATGGTGCAACTTTAACGTTATGCCAAAGCCCACCCTCCAAATGAAATACTTTAGTATCATAAGAAAAGCAAAAGAAAGAATGACATAGACCAGCCATGCTTGGCTGATCTGGATCTCATTGGTTCCACCACAGGCCATTAAACTTGTTATTCACATTGGATGTGTCAAAATCCTGTCTTCTGAACAACATGGCTTGAGGAAAAGGAATTCAGTTAGATTTCCTTATTGAACAACATGGAAGAATTAGAAATACAACGAGAAACCGACCATCATACTCTACCACTTATTCAGCACAAATATCAATTTGTGGACCGATGACACTAAAAAGAGTTACTTGCTATTATTCCCTTCTTCTAAGTACGTTAGAATCCATAAAAATGGAAACATTTATCATGACTTAGTCAAATTTTTAGGCGATAAATACCTTTTTTTTATAGGAAATGAAAATTTTATTAATACTCTAGTTTAATTAGGGATAATTAGTAATTAAAAACTAAAAATAAGAATTTAGGGGGAAAAAAAAAAGAAAAAAAAAAGATGACAAATTTGAATATGATGAAGGAAAAGAAGGGTCCAATTGGATTGGCTGAAAGCAAGTAGGAGGTGAAGGCTTCAAAATCTTCAAGCCATGCCATGAGATGATTGGAGGGGATGATTTTTGGCTATAAAAAGACAACAAATATATGCAAAACTCGTCTGAGGCATTCCTAAGGGTGTGGTTTGGATCAAAATACGCCTCTTTTCAAGGGCTTTACAGTAAGCTTGAGATTGCCTACCCAACTTCGTTTGGATATTGTAACACCCAAATAAAAATAACAGTGCACTAATTGTCTCAATAAAGTTTTATTTATCAAAATTATCTCCCAATACAAATAAATCTGTCAATATAANTAAGCTTGAGATTGCCTACCCAACTTCGTTTGGATATTGTAACACCCAAATAAAAATAACAGTGCACTAATTGTCTCAATAAAATTTTATTTATCAAAATTATTTCCCAATACAAAAAAATCTGTCAATATAAATAAATATCTCAACAGGATTAAAACATCAATTCCATCGACATCTTCCCGTCTTTAATACTTTGATTATCTCGTTCCGATCTTTTTTCTAAAATCAACCTGAANATCTCAACAGGATTAAAACATCAATTCCATCGACATCTCCCCGTCTTTAATACTTTGATTATCTCGTTCCGATCTTTTTTCTAAAATCAACCTGAAAATATTAAATAAAGCGGGGAAGTATACAATATGACAAGGAAAAATATGCTCAAGGACATTGAATAACAAATAATCGAGTATCACAAAGTATCTCAATCAACAAATACAAATAGCATATTTGTATATCACACGTCATGCAGAATCTTAAAACCGATCTGACACCTCACCAATCATCCCACCTCAACCCGATCCCACCGGTGTCTTGGTTGGCGATGCACCGACTATTGGCTATAACGATCTCGTCTCAATATCCGCAAAATACGATTAATGAGATCAAGAACACGATCAATGAGATCAAAATATTCAACGATATTCAATTGAAATTCTAAAATAATGATAGTACAAGTTGGAATACAAATCAAAAGATAATCAAAAAAATACTCTTTGCAAAGAGATTTAAAAAGAGCATATTGTATACCACCCCGTACCTCAGAATCATTATTTGAATTCGATAACTCTNGAAATACTCTTTGCAAAGAGATTTAAAAAGAGCATATTGTATACCACCCCGTACCTCAGAATCATTATTTGAATTCAATAACTCTTATTTCCATTTCATTTTTCTTATTTTTGAGTAGCCCTCTACTTCTCATTTTTCTCTTCTTTGTTTCTACCAGACAACTCCCTGTCTGTCTCTCGGTTTATCTTTCAAGACCTCCTCCACTTTTTTTTATTTTTGGCTATCTTTATATGCTAGGAAGGTGGGACGTCTTCTGCCAAATTCATTGGCAAGTGTTGAAAAATCTTTCCATGAATTTTTCTACAATATATTCAATGCTAGCTGAAATCTCATTTCTTTATTCTTTCTCTCTCTTCTTTGTCTTGTCTCTTTTTTTTTTTTTTTTTCAAAGTCTTCACGTGGGTGAAGACCAAAGAAGTATAAATGTTAAGATATTTATATTTTACTCCCCTTTATTTCACTTATTATATATATCAACCACAAAACTTAACTATTCCTTATACTTTCACATCAAAACTCATAATATTTTACACTTAAACTACTTCTAAAAATTTGGGATCTCACAATCTACCCTCTTTAAAAGAATTTCGTCCCGAAATTCCTTAGTTCACCAAGAATCCCAAAATTTGTTGGGTGCAAAGTGTAACATGAGAAAGAAAAAGAATATAAAGTATTTATANTGTTTTGCTCAGTTGCCCTCTTATTTGGTTATATATATCATACTCTTCACTTAGTTTGTGCATCCTTTTTTACTCTCAACAATTCTAGTGTACCTAGAATGATTTTCATTCTTTGGCTAGCCATTAGACTCNAGTGTGTTATTGAATTTTTTCTCAATAAAGGTGTAATTACATTTACTTTCTCTCAATTCACTAAACTAAAAGTCTCTTCTTTTTTTTGTGTCCTAGTTGTTTGATCTCACAACAAAAACACAGTGAACTCACTTCCCACAAATCNGGCTACTCATTTAGGGATTGGGTGAATTCTCCGTAGAAATGCAAATGAATCATACCACCAGTTAATTTTTCATTATCCTTACTCTGCAACTACTAGAGGCTTATGCTACAAATGAGTGNCCAAATAGCAATAACAGAGCACTAATTGTTTCAATAAAATTTTATTTATCAAAATTATCTCTCAATACAAATAAATCTGTCAATATAAATAAATCTCTTAACAGGATTAAAACATCAATTCCATCAACATCTCCTCGTTTTTAATATTTTGATTATCTCGTTTCGATCTTTTCTCTAAAATCAACCTAAAAATATTAAATAAAGCGGGAAAGTATACAATATGACGAGAAAAAATATGCTCGAGGATATTGAATAATAAATAATCGAGTATCACAAAGTATCTCAATCAACAGATACAAATAGCATATTTGCATATCACACGTCATGCAGAATCAAAACTGATCTGACACCTCACCAATCATCCCACCTCAACCCGATCCCACCGGTGTCTTGGTTGGCGATGCACCGGCTATTGGCTATCACAATCTCGTCTCAATATCCGCAGAACACGATTAATAAGATTAAGAACACGATCAATGAAATCAAAATATTCAACGATATTCAATCGAAATTCTAAAATAATGATAGCACAAGTTGGAATACAAATTAAAGGATAATCAAAGAAATACTCTTTGCAAAGAGATTTAAAGAGAGCATATTGTATACCACCCCTACCTCAGAATTATTATTTGAATTCGATAACTCTGATTTTCGTTTCATTCTTCTTATTTTCGGGTAACCCTCTACTTCCCATTTTTCTTTTCTTTGTTTCTGCCAGACAACTCCTTGTCTGTCTCTCGGTTTATCTTTCAAGACCTCC